GGATGAATCAGAATTCCTTTAGGAATTACTAGATGAGTAATTTCTTCCTGTTAAATTTACCAATTTTCTTGCTGGAGCTCTTATACAGTATATGCATATTTCGCGTACTGAGAAAAAATCTGGTTGATTAATCAGAAATCTGGTAGATTCAACCAGTATATTGGAAAATGAATGACTCAGAATTCCTTTAGGAATTACCAGATGAGTAATTTCTTCCTGTTAAATTTACCAATTTTCTTGATAATAATATTAAATTTAAAAAAATGGCATCTGTGTTTACATTTAGTTAACATAACAAGAAGTTTTATAAATCCAATTAGAAAATACTAATCAAATCCTAGTCTATTAAATGTTCTAGTTATAAAAAATCGAATTATAAAAAATCGCTATCCTAATAACTAGATATTCTACTTGGTAATCAAAATACCTTCTATCATATATTATCTTGTTGGCACAATCAAACGATTTTTCTCAGTGCGAATATAATAAAAAATTGTCTATTGTATTTATACGATTTCTATTTTTGTCCGTGCAAGCTGCTCCGTTTTTGTCGGTGTAGATCTCTTCCTTACAAAGGACATATTGTAATACCGAGAATCTAGTACTTTTCAAAGGTGAAGCGTTTGAAAGTCAGATAATCGTAATGGCTAAAGTTTGCGCATTTCGATAATACAAACGGCAAATGACATCGTCCCTTTTTCCAATATCGATACGATAAGATCGCAATGATACAGAACGGATACCCGAGTAAATGCATCGAACGTGCAATAACATTTTTCGTGAAGCTATTTCAGGTGAAACGCTATCGCGCGAGAGGAAAAATCGACGACACGAGACGTCTCTCTTACCGCTGTCCCGTGTCTTCTATGAGAGTTTCCCTTTACTCACGGTGAAGAATTAATGGAAAGAATTCACGAGCGGTTAAAACCCGAGGGGAGGACGACAGTAAGGGACAGCTCGAGGTGATCATTTATTTTACTGCTTCTGAAATACGAATCGCTCCGCGGAGATAAAACGAACGCTCGAGGCGCCCTTAAGATCGGGGCCTTTTTTCGCGCGGACGTTAAGATGGACGAGATTAGAGACGTATACGACTCTCGTAGAGGTGAACGCACTCCTTCGCTTGCGATATAGATATAGTCGGGATATAATTCGCCCTGCTCGAGTTACTCGAAAATTCACGAACGCCTGATATTCCATGAGCGGCTGTCGGCAACACGCCGCAAAAAACAGCTATGTCGAGGAGAATCGACAGGAAGTCACTCCGACGAATGTCGAATATTTCAAATCAGCGATCGGTCGTGAAAATGCTGCATTTTTCTTCCCCCTCTCAAAGTTTCAAATGTTCTCCAGTAGCGATATATTTTACTCGAATCCTTTCGTAAGCCGTTTAGCCGACTGCAGTTTTATTGTACGTATATACGTGCGATGCTGTATACCTGTTGGAAAATTTGACGTCAAAATTAAGTCCTTCGAAAAAGTTGAGGTATTTTCATCATTTATCGTTAACGGAATGTCGTACAAAAGGATTTTGTTCCCCCCCGGTAGTGATCCTCATTAATCTCACTGACGGATTTTGTTCTCCAATTAAAACTCTCCGTTAGACGCAACATTTGCGAATTTTATTCGCTCCGAAATCTGTTCTCTAATGTGTTAAATCCGCGCGTGTATATTCAGCCTGATGAAACAAGAGAAAGCAGCGTAGTAGTTAAATAGTTAAAGATTCAGGTCGCTCTACGCGAAAGATAATGAGACTTATGTATGTTAATGTTACGTGCTTCGTACAAGACATACGATATAATTCAAGAAATTATTGAGTAATTTTAAAAGAATTATAAGAATAGATATTTAATTTCAAAGATTTACAAATAAAGTCGAGAATGACAATTGATCGTTTGACAAAACTTTTTCATTCATGTAAAAGTATTCTTACAATCATGCAAAATAATAACATTATTACCGCCTCGAAGCACAGTGGATTTAATTATAATATAAAATCTCAGATTCTTTATTTCAATTTGCATTCTTTATATTATGCAAAAAATATAAAAAGACTCGATTATATTCATTAAAAATGAATGCCTGATCTCAAAATAATTAACAAACCGCGGATACGATATATATGATTGTATGTATTTTGAAGAAACTACGTGCATTTGAAAGAGAGAAAGATAGCGAGGGATGGGAAAGGATTATAACATTCTCGATGAAGCAATCGCGTCGACAGCAATTAAATCCAGTCTTCATAAACCCTCATGTCCGATTAACTACACGTACCTAAAGAGGGAATGATGAGTATTTTCGATCCGCTTTTTTCTTCTTATATAATCTCCATACATAATTTGTAATTCAATTCAGATTCAAAGATGACTGTTCTTTGGAAAGTCGGATCGTATCGATTATTTGAGAAAATAAAAGATATAACTTATTGAATTGGATCGGAATCTCATTCAATCGACAAGACGAAAATTTAATAAAGAATCAAACTTTAAAATTTGGATCAATCAAGAAATATGTTTTATACAGAGAGTGTCTCTTATGTAAATTGAGTACAGATCAATATTTCTTGTAAAAAAAAGAGCATGTTTTTCTTTTGGCAAAATTTTCTGCCAAATGCATCTCTATCGACATACCTTACTTTATTATACCGTATTTTATTATGGTACAACACAGTACTAATTTGCTTTTTCTTGCTTTTTTTATAAAATATTGGTAATTCGGTTAAGACTAATATTTACATTTTCACGACAAAACGCTTGAGGATATTTTATTCGAATTGAAACAAGATTCTCTCTGACAGCGAGTGTACTTTCCAATTCTAATAAAACAGAGTTTGTGTAGTTTTTAGTTTCTTCTCATTATTCCTGTGTTTTATCATCGTGTGTTATTCATACGACAAATATTTCATCTGCTTTAGGATACAATATTCTATTGGCGTATTCAAAAAAATGAGATATCTCGAAAAAAACGATAAATTTTCGAAGATTTATAGAAATCAAAGAAAAAGACACTTTTTGAAAACTCACTCACAAATCATCCCCTGTGTATCTTACTCAAAGTCCGCGCTTGTGCCAATTAATCGCACCCTCTCTCGACAATCGCTCTCGGCAGATTCAGGTCGTTTCTATCTGGAACACTATCCGATAGAAGATGAAGCGAGGCGTCGTTATTGCGTTTTACGACACTGTTACATGTCCATGTTTCATGTCCCGGTTGTCCGACATCGCGACTCGCTAATCGTTTGCAACTAGTTACCAACATTTGCATCGCGAAACTTCTTCGTAGACGCTCGTCGACTTGCGAGACCTGTGTCTATGAATGAGAAACGACACGGAAAAACTTGCGTGAACTCCCATGTATGTGTGTGTGTGTGTGTGTGTGTGTGTGTGTTTGTATAAGTGTACTCGGTTGGCCGATCGTTGCATGTTGCGGGCGCCTTGGAATCGGGAACGGAAAATCGATCGGTCATTTGTGTATGTGTGTGTGTGTGTGTGTACTCGCATGCGTGCATATAGGGTGTTTCTTAATAAGTGCAAATAATTTTAGAAGATGATTCTTTGTCGAAAATTAAGGGGGTTTTTCATATAAACATATACTCCTACATCCCTCCCTGTGAAGTTACACTCTTCCGAAAATAGAGGTAAAATTTAGGTTTTTAGATTTTTATTATAATTTGTTTTGTTCCAATTTTTCCAACATTTACTCTAATTTTATTTTTCTTTTAAAATTTAACTTCTCGTAATTCGAAACCCATGCCGTTTAGCATCGTGCACGATAACATATTTTTTTCTTGAAAACTACTGATTTTATGAAAAAAAAAAAAAGAAATAAAAAGGTTTCTAAATAAATCAAACTTTTTAATGCATATTTTTAGATCATATTCTGGCTCATTGAAAAGTTCTAATAAAAAATTAAATAGAGGTTGCTAGTTTCATCCCCTTATGATAATACGAAAGGCTGAAAAAATATTAATAAATAATCTTTTTACTAGTAGAAAATATCCACCTAATTTCATTCCTTTAACTTCGAAATTTGAGAAAATAATAATGCCCATGTAGAAGTATATGTTTATATGAGAAACCTTCCTTAAATTTTCGACAAAGAATCATCTCCTAAAATTTTTCGCACTTATTAAGAAACACCCTGTATACATATGCATGTTCGAATCCTTTTCTGTTCACTTGCCCCGAAGGACGACGGGCGAAACATCGTCGAGAAACGGATGTATCCGCGATGAAGTCGGAAGCGGAGAGAAAGCTAGCAGTGGAAATCGAGTAGCGCATGTCTTACCCGAGGGAGAGAAAATCGAGCAAAAGGCTGCTCGATTCGCTTCCCCCTCGACGCTTTGCGTATCGTTCGCTTCGAGTATTCGATCCGGGCTTACAGGAAGGCAAGCTTAGCGACTTTTTGTCAATCTCATTTGAGGAGGATTAGTAGAAAGGGTAAACGAATAAAGAGCGACCGCTCGACTCTGCATATTCAACGTAACGTGGAGTTTACGCACAACCCCCGGTAGGGGATGCTAAGTCAAACAGCGAGTAATTTGCTTATCTTGCTTGATAAAGGAGAAGATAAACGAGTAACGCGCTACTTGCTTCTCTATTAGCTTCGTACGCCCCCGCAAAGTTATAATATCGGATTAACCAGCCGGAGAATCAAAAAGTCTGGGAGAGGCAAAACAAGTTTCTTCCACTTGGCTTTCGTATTAACTTTACGATAAGAAAAGTATCGTGTTATTCGAATTAATCCGCCTTTCTACTGACTTTGCGTAATAAAAAGATTCGACATTAAATTGGGAAAAATGGCTACGTGAAGCTGATAGACAGGCGTATCGAGCAACACAGTTACTCGCTTATCTTTTTTATTCCTCATCATGCTCCTCCAAGGGGAAATAAACGAGTAATTCGCTTCTTCGACGTCCCGTATTCACGACATGACGCTCGATTTACTTTGGCAAAGTAAAGGGGCGGATGAAACCAAGCAGCAAATTATTCGCTTACCTTCTCTCTTATCGTTTTGCTGAAGACTCAAGCAAGGTAGTAACTTGCCACTCGACTCATTTCGCTGGTCTCCTAACTTCGATATTGTTACTCGGATGAAATCTCGCTCCGACTTTAATTGCCAGACGAAAACACTGTCAAGTGGGAGCCACGTCGATCGAATCCGTTAGGGAAAAATTATTTTTATCCTAAAAAAAATACACATGACGTAGATGACACGATGTGGATGACGTATCGCTTATGAACGAGAGAGGGAAAAAAAATCGCGTTAATTAATCGATCGCGATACGTGAAAAAGTAGATTCTCCGATTACCGATCCTGAACGTTTGTCTACAGTATTTCGGAAACCGGAGCACGACCCGGAGCGAAATCAAGACGCGATCGAATTTCGCGAAGAGATTCAAACTCGCTCGTCCTCCTATGACGCATTCGTACAGAATCCCGACGACACGGCGCATGCACCGGGAAAACCACCAGGCAGGCGTTCATCCCCGACGATATAATATTATACATCCGCGATACGTGTGACGTCGAATAAACGCTCACGCACCGGATGCCGTATCCCCGTCACCGTTCAAACCACACGCACTCACTCCTGCAACTAATATCGTACGCGAGACGCGAGCGGAACCCGACTCTCGGACGCGATAAGGCGCGATGACGCGCGTCCCCCGCGTCCCCCCGTCGCCCCGCGCCGCGGGGGTGATCCCGACGATCAATCGCGCGCGGGAGACAGACTCGACGTGGGCCGAGCGTCGACGAGACGGCCCACGTTTTCAAACGCAATGACCGAGCGTCGCTCGAGAATCCCCCCTCCCGCAAAAGATCCCCGCGAGAAAGAGATGGAAAATGATCGGCGAACGTCGAGGATCGCCCCCGAGGGGCGAGTTACGTTGCGGACGATCTCGAAGGGGTAAAGGAAGGGAGAGGGGACGGTAGGTTGCCTCCGATACGGGGGGCACGCGTACGTTCTCGGTTGCTCCTGGTAGCTTTTCTCGACTCGATGTGGCATCGGGGCGGCAGGCGGACGGATCGATTCGCGGACTCGCGTGTCTCGTCTCGTCTCGAGAAATCCTTAAACGCGGCGGCCACCACCTCGCTCGCGCTCCACCTCCCCGTTTCCGCTGCCGTCTCACCGCCGTTCGTCCCTTACGTTCGTTCCTCGAGAGCCATTCTCGAAAGCGAAAGAGAGAGAGACAGAGAGAGAGAGAAAGAGAGAGGGAGAAAAAGGGGTAAACGTCATTGGTGATAATTACCTTTTTGTCGCGTCGCGTTCAAGGCATGCACTGGTCACTGTATTAAGGCACGGCGTGCACTGTGTCCCAATCCTCGGGTCCCGCAAAACTAGCCGCGATAATTCGGAAGCCGCGAGCGCGAGTCGTACTACGGGGTGCACCGAGGGTGGCCGGGTACTGAACAGCCAGATGGCGCTCGCGCCCGCGCGCCACCCCTATCTTCTCGGAACCATCGTCGCGCCACCACTCGGTGAGGATTACCCTCTTCCCTCCCCCCGCCCCGCCCCCCTAACCCAGCGCGGTTGCCGAGAAATTTTCGCCGCGTCCGCGAGGAGGGCGCTCGATACGGCGTTTCGATTTCTGTCACGGGGTGTAAGAAGTATAGATTGCTCGTAAACGAATCGAACGGAAAGATAAGATTGTATTTTTCTTTCTGTCAGAAATGCATAGACGATGCAAAAAAATCTTATTCCGTATAAAAATATTATTCTTCGAATTCGGAATTGTGTGAAAATTAAGAAGCGTCGATAAGATTTTAATATTAGATTTAAATTTGATGTAAATTTTTCGCAAATTAATGTTTTAATCTCCCTTTCCAGCTCATTTTTTGTCAAAAATAAATAAATAAATATATATATATATATATATATTCTTAAATATCTTAATTATATATATAAATTAATTATTTATTAATTAATTAATTTTTACTATAAATTTATTATAAATTTTATTATAAATTTATAAATTAATTTTTATTATAATTAATTATTTATTAAATTTTAAATAAATAAATATATATATATATTTAAAAATAAATCCAGCAAATACCAAGTAACAGTTATATAACTGTTAGTTGTAATTTTCCATTCCACGATATAACAGTTACATAACATCTGTATGTAACTGTTATATTGTTAAATGGAAAATTACAACTAACAGTTATATAAATATTACTTGGTGTTTGCTGGGAATAAATATACATATATTCTTAAACTGACAATTATATATAACAATTGGATTTATTACAATTTTTTATAATAAAAAAATGAAATATATATATATATATATATATATATATATATATATATATATATATATATATAATCTTAAATCGCGCATTTCGATTTATTGTAAAATATGTTAAACAATAACATGTTATTGCAATGACATTTCAGAGTAACATTTAAGTTTTACTTTATTTTAATAACAAATCATTACAACGGATATTAAATATTAAAATAAAGAAATATTATATGGTATATATTTGAATGGCGTACCTGAAGATCAACAAGACATCCGAGAACTCGATCATTTCTCTTCGTTTAATAAATGATCTATGCTTAATATCAAGCAACATTTTCCACAGCACTTCTCGACATGATATTGCAACGCGGATGATAGAATAAAACACTTTTTTCAATAAATCTTCGCGAAAAATACTGTATATGCGCGCAATTGTTCATCGAGAAAACATCCATCGGTTTCCATGACGACAAATCTATAGATATAAAAAGTATAGATGGACCCTCATCCAGGTTGTATTTGATTGGCGCTTTGATGCGCGGGAAACATTGTTGATTGGCCAATCGGGGCAAAGGAATCTTTGGCCAATCAAACGCTTCCATCACTCGTTAGAGAGAAGCCAATCTATTACTTTTATATCTATGGATGTCAAATAAATATTTTTATTTTTGTGATAAATGCGCGTAATTTTTATTCGGATTTATTATTAAAAAATGTTTGTAATCCGTCATATTCTGGGTTCTGGAAAAAGTGCTGTGAAAATTTTTGTGTTTGATATTAAATGTACATAGAATTTATTAAATGAAGACAAATGTGAGTAGAATTCCTGATGTCCCGCTGATTTTTAGGTTAGTCAAAAAGAAGTGCGTTATTTAAACTCATTTATTGTATATTGCATAATTTTGTTACTTTATCATTTAATATTCGTCATAATAATTTTTGCTCTCTATCAAAATAAATATAAAACTATCAAAATAAAATTTTACTTTGAAATGTTGTATTTATAATATATTGTTATCAAAGTTTATGAGTCGAATTTATTTAGTGTATCTGTTCTTAAATAAAATAGAAGAGAAAATATACGTAATCTGAAAAATGAATATAATTTAATATTACTATTTAAATAATAAAGTCCTTCACGTATCTCAAAAGCAATCGTCATCCGAAGACATTTTAATGTCATCCGAAGACATTTTAATGTCAAAATTAATTAATTATAACAATTTATTTTTAATAAGGACATTATAGCGTTTTTTATTTTTTAAACTCATTTTGCGAGTAATAAATTCAAGATTATTAGAGCGATTTTATTTAGTAAACTAAGTCATTTTTGTAAAGATAATAAATTTTAATTTTATCAATAACAAGTAATAAATAAATAAATTTATAATCACTTACTTGATGATTGATGCGATATCGTCATTTGATGCCATTCTGGATCTTCTCCTCTTTCCTCGTTTTTTCCTCGTTGCTGTTTCATGGCACTCACTCGCGAAAACACGATTAATTACGATTCACGAGCGCACTAATAATTTGGCAAAACACGATAATCACGCAATATTATTGCTTTGTAATAATTAATAGCGCGTTCAATTTTATTACAAAACAATTTACACGAAGACACAATTTTAAAAAATCGCTGAAATCGCGATACTTTTATATATCGTATAGAATCGTAAGAATTAATTAAACGGAATTTAATAACCGCTAATTCTAATAATCGTAAGAAATGTTTGCATTCCGAAGAATATAACGTAATACGGAGCAATTCGAGCTGTGGCCTTCCCGACCGAATCGAGCCACGCGAATGACAGCGAATGACAACAAGGCCAAAGTCAAGACCAAGGCGCTCGAAGTAAACAACAATGTGTCATACGCCACACGAAACAAATTATATCAAAAACATTACATTATATATATAAAATACTGAACATACATGTAATAATTATTTCGTTATTGCTACGAAATATTTAACGAATTATAACGAGATTTTAATTTCTAATCGATTATATTAATAATCTAATATATGATATCTTAATAATATCTTAATAATAATGATATCTTAGTAATATATGATGTCTTTTTGTTACTTTAATCGCTTGATCCTGCAATTCGTGCATTATTATTTGATTGTTTTCTCAATCCAAAAGTAATAAAATCTAACTTTTAAATCAACGGAAAATTCAAAGCGCGATGTCAAAATTATTTTCGCAATTTGAATATTGATTTCAAATTGTCTTTTTGATTTCAAGTATTTAAAGAATCATCGTAGTAATATATATAATTTATATTAATATATATTATAATTAATATATATAATATTTATAATTTTTACTCTCGTCGTTTCAACTATTGAAAATGTACTTGAAATGTTTAAATCATACAAAAGTAATTGCTTTAATAAATAGCCATTGCTTCGTTTAATAATATGTATTTAATATATATTTCGTTTAATAATATATATTTACAAAATCGTAAATCGCGAGAATTAATGTCACGCAGATTATGTCTAATTGTTCATAGAAAATGATTTTGCATATGATATCCAGTACTTATTATACTTCATTTATTTTTCGAAATACTACGAATAATTATCAACTAGCAATTAACTAGCATATGACGTTACGTTTATACAAAATATGTTCTATACGTATTATATATTTATCGGGTCAGCCCGAGTAATATGCTGCTTGAGCAACATGAGCTATTTTTTAAATTGCTCCTCCGCCTTTTACTTTTGATCTTTTCACTGTCTATTTTTCTTCCATCGACGACAATATATTCAATCACGCGGACTATAAAATTTGAAGGATGAGTATGATGCAATTATGTACAGAAAGGTATAAAATCTTGTATATTTAAAGAGTAATTTCTCGTATATGCTTCAGTTTATTTTATCGTTTTCAGGTAAATGGATATAGAGAGAATAACTGACCACAAAAATAGCTTTCTAATTAACATCAGTATTGGATGAAACAATTGTAATGGTTTATAATATCACGGAATGCATGCAATACATTATTAATGTAACGACATCGATACGTGGCAGCTGATGGTCTCTCGATTGAAAAGAGATTTGAAAAAAATGATACAATTTTATTTAGCTACAGGTGAACATTGCTTGCAAGATGAATATCCTAACAGCACTGTTGTGAAACTTTAATTCATTAATTATTTGACAAGCTTGTAATCGCTTGTTATAAATAAAACTAACATGCATTGAAATTTATTAAGAAACTTGGCATGCAGTATTACGATAATCGTAAACTCATCATCGTATATTCAAATGACACAAGGAGAATCTGGTAAGTTGTAAAAATTACGATAATTATTTACGCTAACGTATTACATTCTACTGTATGAAATCAATTTAATATCAATATATAATTTCCTAAGTTTCTAGAAATAATTACATGTTACTCGAAATATTTAGTTTATATTTTACGCTTATATTTCATTTCTTAAAATATAAAACTAAAAAGAATGAGATTTTTATTATTATTAAAAAAATTAAATTTATTATTGACGTAATTTTCTTAAAAAAGAAAAATTTTTTTATTCATTGCAAAGATTAGATATTCTTTTTTTTCATTGGATACTATAATTTCTTATCACATCATATAAAAATTTCTTTTTCTGTAGAATCTTCTAATTTATTTCTTACAAAGAAAAAATATTTCACTTTTTAATCGTAAATAGAATATCAAAAATAACATTAAATATGCTGCTATTTATCTTTTATCACAAAGATTGAAAATAGAAAAATATAATTTTAAAATGAAGAATATAGTTTTTTTATTATTTATTTGCACTTTTGGTTTATGTAAAATCTTTATTTTCAATTGCTATTTACACTATTAAAAATTACTATTGGAGTCACATTTTCATAAAAGAAAAATTATTTTCAAATTGTCTATCTAAAAATTAAAATCGACTATCTAGTATGACACTAGAGAGTAACGATATTTTGTATAATATTGCAGATTTAATAATAGCTCAAACATACAGAGTGCTATCTCGTTCAGCTTCAATTATTGGAAATTGTGATGATTACTTTTTATCGTGAAAAATAAAAATAAAAAATATAACTAATCTTTTTTATTCTTATTTCATTTTCTCAAGAAAGTGAACCTTATGAACATAAAAGTAACATTTTGATATTTGAACATCCGACTAAAATATGTTATATTCAAAGGAAAAACACATTTCAACCATTTATTTCATAGCAATAAGAAACAATGTTTTTATTAGATAAGCAAAATATTATTCAGCAAATAAGAAACACACACACACCGATTATGGCTTACCTATAATAACAAAGATTGCAAACAGAATAATAGAAACATATTCGAGTCAGTAAGAGAAAAATATTATTTACTGTGTGTTCTTTCTACCCATCATATATCCCTCTTATTACCTTGTCTTGCTCTTTGATTTTATCTTCAAACAGATTCAGTATCAAATTTACCAATAATCAGATCAGTCATTTATTTGTGTAACATCATAATGGACAACATAGATTGGCTGTTAGTGTATTGATTTTTTATTTTGCAATAAAAACTGTTTCTTATTTTAATTAATATATATTATTCATCACAGACGACCGCCGGAACAGGAATTGAACATCGAAGTCGACGCCAAGACAATAATAAAGGCGTGTAAGGATAAAGGATTGAATAAAGTGCCGCAACATTCGTTATTGAATTCTCGTCAAAAAGCACCGTTCAACCCGAATCAACCCAATCAACGATTATTGGAGGAACACCTACGGCCGTGCACGCCGAGCATACTTCTAAGTGATAAAAATGAAGCATTCAATCCGTGGGTACGAGATTTTTGTCTGGGGCAACCAATCGTTCTGATAACCGGTCTTACGAAAATTCTCAATTTTAACTTGAGCCTTTTCCAAACCAAAACCATAGTCAAGGCAGATCCGGATGGAATCATCGAGGTGCGTGAGCAAATGCTTCAAACTAATGACGAAAACTGGAATCAAGCATATAACCAGAAAGTTTGGGACTATTATAGTCATCGAGATTATTCGTCGATCAGCGAATATGCGCTTTATCAAAATAAAGAATACCTGAAGAGCAAAAAAGAGACAAACACACAGAACAAGCAAGACATTGAAGACAAAGAAGATTCGAATTTCGATCAGTTAAACTTGAAAGAGGATCAAAAGATAGAATGCAAAAAGAAGAAAATATGTTTCGGCACCAATGTGGATTTATCAAACATGAGAAAATGGAAATCACAATTGAAAGAGCTAAAGAAATTGCCACCCTTATTCCAAGTAGAATCAGATGACAATATGCTCAACTACGTCGGTTACAACATTTTGGGAATGAATACTATTCAATTTTACATGGCGGTATATTGACATTTTAATATATAAAAAAATTTAATTAAAATATGATATATCTATATAAGATGAAACAAACCGTCAAGTTTTTTTCTATTTTTCGAAAGATACATATGAATTTTATTACTGTCTACAGGTACCCGGTTGCAGAACACCTGGTCATCAAGAGAACAACAACTTTTGCTCAGTTAATATCAACATTGGACCGGACGACTGCAAATGGTTCGCGGTACCATATGAATACTGGGGCGCATTATATTCCCTTTGTGAATGCCACAACATCGATTATTTAAATGGCAGTTGGTGGCCAAATTTAGATGAATTATATGAAAATAATATTCCGGTATACAAATTCCATCAAAAACCAGGCGATCTGGTATGGGTGAACGTTGGCTGCGTATATTGGATGCAGGCGATTGGCTTTTGCAACAACATTGCGTGGAACGTAGGACCGTTTACTGCTAAACAATACCAAGCTGCAATCGAAAGTTATGAGTGGAACAAGTTAAGAGGAGTTCAATCGATCGTACCAATGGTGCATTTATCTTGGAACCTGGCATGCAAAATTAAGATGTCAGATATGCAACTGTACAAAATGATTAAAAATTGTTTGTTTCTGACACTGAGGCAATATTGTTTAACATTGAAATTTGTGAAAAACAAGGGTGCTGAAATAGAAGCTTATAACTGTGATACATCCTATTGTGTTAAGTGCATGGTGCATTTCTTTTCTATATTTTCAACAACTTTGATTGAATATATATTTTGTAGAAATTAGAACGAAAAAATTCTGCTTTTATGCTATGTAGATTTCTAAATTTAAAAAATTATATATATATATATATATATATACACGTATTTAAGTAGAAAATAATTGCAGCAAAAACTAAACTATTATAAAATATTTCATAATTTGTTTAGATATGTATATTAGCATGAGAAAAATGAGAAAAATGATTACAGTAATATAATACTAACCTATACTAATATAATACATACACATTTAAACACATTTAAACAAATGAAACATTTTATGAAACATTTTATAACAATTTAGTTTTTGCTGCAATTATTTTGTACTTAATATGTAATTTTGTTTTAAAAATTATGTTCTATTTCAATATTTCTATTTATATGTATGAGTTCAGATATGCCAAATTGTACAGGTGCACCCAAACTTGATTTCAAGTTATTAGTAGATTTAAAATAATAAATATGATCCTCTACTATCAACTGATATAATATGCTTGCATCATTACAGTTACATCATCGCATATGTGTACTTATAATAAAAGCAAACGCACAAAAGCTTTATTTTTCAAATTTTTATTTTTTGGACTTGAATTACTTAGCATCTGAACTACTTACATTATTTCATTTATTTAGTCTATTATCTTTTTAAATGTTTGTTTTTTTAGATCGAATTATTTGGCATTTTATTTAGTCTCCCGAAAAACAATCAAAATGTGCCATATTGCTTGGATTGTGCGCTTAAAATTTCTCCTTTATTGGAAGGATTCGTTTGTGTAGAAGAAAAAAACATATACGCCTTGATAAATATTTATGATAATTTTATTTTAAATGAATTGCCAACTGATAATGGTGCATTTACTTGCTCTAAACTAAACTGGTAAATAACTAAATAACTAAAATTTACTTGCTCTAAACTACATTCATAAATTATAAAAATATGAAAAATAATTTTATTTCATTTTTCAAACTTTTAGTTTTTAACATATATTACTTGGAAAGTTGCATTATTAAGAAATTTCTAAAAATTTACAAATATATATATTGAAGAATATAAATAAATAAATAATTAATTTGAATAACAATCAATTATTTATTTATTTTATGTTATATACATATATCAGAAAGATTAAATTAAATTAAAAAAAAAAATGAAAGATTAATCTAAATATAAATAAAATTAAATATAAATATTTGTTATAAATATTTATTTAAATAAATAATATTAATATTATAATAAATATATTTATTATATTTATTATATTTAAAATGTTATGTTTTGGAAATATAGCATAAAATATATAAATTTATTATAAAATTATATTCTTTCAAAATTATATTTTAAGATAAAAAAATATGTATTAAATTTGGAATTAATTATTATATAAATGTAAATGTATTAATATATAAATATAAATGTTATTGTTTATCTTCTTTATTCTTTAAAATATTTGTTAGAATCTTTTTACTTTGCTGTTTGATTTTATTTACAAACAAATTTAGTATCAAATTTGCCAATAATTAGATGAATCACAATTTATTTGTGTAGCATAGTAGTGGAGGATATTGATTCACTAAAATATATTTATTAATATATTGTCTATCAATATTCATTAATATAATGTCTTTTGTAATGAAAAATTTAATTCTAATTTGTGTTACAATTTTTTTCTTCTTTATGTACAGGCAAAATCTGGAGGATGGATTGGATATCGATGCTAATGCCAGAACCATCATAGAAGCGTGCGAGAATAAAGAATTGAATAGCGTGCCAGAATACTCATTATTTAACGTTTGTCAGGCACCTCTGGATCCGCCTAAGCAACAATTGCAGAAGGAACAACTACATCCGTTTATTCCGGCCATCTCTTTAACTAGTGAAAATGAAGCATGGGAACTCGAGCCATGGGTGAAGGCATACTGTTGGAATCATCCAATTGCTTTGATACATGACTTGACCTCAATTGTGGGTTTTAATATGAAGCTTTTTTGGACTGAGAACATACGCAAAACATTTCGGAAATTCAAGATCGAAAGGCGCACACAGATGCAGCAAAGTAGTATAGAGAACTGGGATAAAACATACAGCAATAAAGTCTGGAAATGTTATAATCGTCGAAGTTATATGACTTTGAAGGAGCATGAAAAAGATCAAACTATTATGCCTAGCGAAATCATAAACGAATATGAGGACGAACAAATTCATATGACATCCGAAAACATGCTGCATATAAAAAGGAACAAGATACACTTGGATACTAATGTGGATATATTGAATTTGAAGAAAAAATGCAAGTTGCAGCTAAAAGAATTAAGGAAGCTGCCATCTTTTTTGCAAGTAGATTCAGAAAACAATATGCTCAGCTACATAGACCATAAGATCTTGGGAGTAAACACTTTACAATTATATCTAATGGTATTATAAATATATGTACACAGTTGAAATTTTGATGTAATAAAAACTTTATAATTAAAGTAGGAAATCTTTTGTATGAAGATATTATTGAGTGTAATTTAGCTTTTATATTTGTTTTCAGGTACCTGGATGTCGAATAACTGGTCAACAACAGAATAACAACTTTTGCACAGTTAGTATCAATGTCGGATCAGGCAATTGCGAATGGTTTGTGGTACCATACGAATATTGGGGAGTAATATACTCACTCTGCGAACATAACGACGTCGATTTTGTGAACGACAGCTGGTGGCCACCAAGTCTGAATGAATTATATGAGCATAATGTTCCAGTATACAAATTTTTTCAAGAAAAAGGCGATATAGTATGGTTAAATGTCGGCTGTGTATATTGGATACAGGCTAATAGTATATGCAACAATATTATGTGGAATGTTGGGCCGTTCATGGCAAGACAATATCAACTCGCACTCGAGCGTTATGAATGGAATAAGCTGCATTCATTTCAATCGATTGTGCCAATGATCAATCTGTCATGGAACTTGGCGCGCAAAACCCAAATATCAGATCCGCAACTGTACCGACTAATTAAAACCTGCATGCTGCTGACATTGAAACAATGTTACTTGTTATTGAAGTTTGTCAAGAACAAAGGCGTGGAAGTGGAATCTTATGATGGTTACGAAGTGATAGCGCATTATTGCGATAAATGTCTGGTACGTTTCTTTTACTATGTTTTTAATAATATTAATCAACATATATTCTATAGAAATTATAAAAGAATTCTATTTTCGTTTCTCTATATATATGTATATTTTTTTCTGTGCCCCAAAATAATCTTAAAATTTGTTATAAAAATTCCTTTTTTTAATTTAAGAAATTTCAGTTTTAAACTCGAAACTGCAAATGCATTGCAATTGTAATAGCAAATAAAATAATCAAAAAATTAATATATGAAATTTTATATTTTTTTTTTGTGATATACATAAGTAATTTGATGAAGTACTTTTATCTTTTTGGATCATTATACAATATAAAATTTTACCATATGTCTCCATAGCATTTTATTTCGTCAATTTTTGATTATTGGTTATTTTCGTCAAAAACATGCCAATATTTAAACAGATTATTAAATATTATCTTATAGCTATTTTATTTTCTAACGTTTTTAACTTTTTTTATTTTGATATTATAAAATAAAAAATTACAAAAATATGAATATGATAATTTAATTTTGTATTAAGGATATTAAAAAGTATATAGAAATTATATCGAATAAATACTATGTAAATACAGATATATAAAATAATATATAACATATATTATTATAATAACATATATACATTAATTTAAATAAAAATTTAATGCAGCTTGAAAATATATGTAGAAAGATTTTTTGAAATAAAAAAAACTTTTCACAAAGTTTAAAATTAATACAATTATTTTTTACTTAATATATAATTTTATTTCACAAACTTTATCTTATTATGAGATATATAAACATTTTTACTTATATAATATATTATATTCCTTTTTCATTAGAAATTTATTTTTATAAAAATTTTATTTTGTAGATTGAGTTGTTTAGCATAGTGCTTATTCAAGAGCATAGGAAAAACCCTGTGTCATATTGCTTGGATTGTGCACTTAAATGTTGTCCTTTGTTAAAAGGATTCATCTGCTTGGAAAAGCATAATATAAAAGACTTGATGGATGTTTACGATAATTTTACTCTAGATTTATCAATGATTTGCTCTTAATCATTCATTTCCATTTTCCCTGAGGGAGCGTTTTCAATTTTCTTTATTTTAATAGTGCTATATTTATAAACTAAAAATTTAATAGAGCTATATTTATAAACTAAAAAATTAGAAAAATATGAATATGATAATTTAGTTTTATATTAAGGATATTAAAAAAATTTATATAGAGATTGTATCAAATAAATATTATGTAAATATAGATATATAAATATATTAATTTAAATAAAAATTTAATGCATCTTGTAAATATATGTAGAAAGATTTCTTGAAATAAAAGCCTTTTCACGAAGTTTAGAATTAATTTTTAATTTTTAATAATTAATGGGAATAATTTATTAGAAAAATTATTTTAAATAATGATACCTCGTTTTTTAATAGTATAAATACAAAATAAAGTTATTTAAAAACATTATATTTACTAGAAAATTGAATCTTAAGGATAAGAAAAAAAAATAAATATAGACTTATTGGGAAAGGTATTGCAAAAATTAAATGTTTTTCACTATAAATTTAAAATTTAATTTTTAAATTTGGATTTTCATCTTTACTTTCGACTTGAAAATATGATATATGTATTCATATATTAAAACGCAAATTTAGATCCAATGACAACACCTTCCTTCGATGAGTTTTCGAACGCGCCAAATTAGGTGAGAAGTTGCGGGAATGATCTCGATCGCATTTTGATTCTTCAGTTTTTTGTTTATGTATAACTATAAAAAACAATGATTTAAAGAGAATTCTAATACTGTGAAACAATTAATTATTGTAAATTTATGTCAATATGTGTATATAAGTAATAAACAGATCATTTGCAAGTGAATAATAATACAGAAAGTCAAGGTATAGTAAACAACATGATATAATTATGTAAAAATAATAAATCTTTTATCGATTATTTTTTTGATGTGTAATTATTTTCAAATAGATATATTTTCTACCGCAAAGAAGACCCAATCCCGACATGGTTTGCGAAAAGTGCGAGAAGAAGTTGGGTAAGGTTATCACGCCAGATCCTTGGAAGACAGGTGCGAGAAACACTGTGGAAAGTGGAGGTCGTCAAGTAGGAGAGAACAAGGCTCTATCTGCGGGAAAAGCACGATTTAATCCATACACCACAAAATTCGAGATTTGTAGAATATGTAGGCAAAAGGTACATCAAGTGGGATCCCACTATTGTCAGTCCTGCGCATACAAGAAGGCTATTTGTGCTATGTGTGGCAAAAAACTAATGAATACAAAGAATTACAAGCAATCTGCAACCTAATATAAACAATTATATACACTTAAGACTAATGATTTATCATACAAGCACATTACTGTATGTTTCAAAATGTAAGTTTGACAATCGTTTGAATAGTTTTTCAATTAGATTACCTGATGGCATATAACTGCATCAAGAATATATATAATAGAACATTATGTATATTAATACTTGTGTGCATATGTAATATAATCATTATTACAAAAAACATTAATGCGCACAAAATGTAAAGTTACTTGTACAATGTAAGTCAATTTGTTAATCGTTATATTTTTGATTAAATTCTTAATATCTACATGAAAAGGTTATTCACATATATATACACACATATAACTATCAAATGTTTAAATCAAGGTAGTAATAAAATTGAATATAAAAATTTTTAATATAATGCAATATATTAAAGAAAATTAATTTTAAGCATATTTCATTTGTTATAGGTAGATTATGTCTATATAAATAGTAATTTTAACATGATTAATATAAAAATAATAAAAATTAAAGCTAATAATGTACAAAGTATATATATTGATGCATATAAAATAAAAATATGCTTATACATCATACATACTTTTCTATTGTTTCTATAATTTCTCTTGTGAAAAAATAAATGCAATAAAAATTTTTAAAGTGAATATATGTGCAACAATATATGTAATATATAATTCTGATATAACTGTAATAGTAATAACATTAATAATAGTTAAATTATTGATTCTATCAATATATATTTCTATTTCCTTCTTTTGTATAACATCTTATTTCTGTTAAAGATGGACTTATTATGTATTTTTTTTGTTATACTGAGATGATTGATATGAACATAATTTTTAATTAAATTTTGATATCTGCACTTGATAAAGAGAATATAATAAGATAACACGCTAACTGAATAAAATTTTTTTTTTAATTTTGAAGTTCTAATCACGAGAAATTAAAAGAAAAACTTTAAAAGAAGACAAAGTAATAAATTAAAAGAAATATAATCAAAACAGAAATAAATAAAATTCTCTCAGAATTGTAACACTAAAAATTAGAATTTTAAACTAAAAACTTTGAAAATTAAAACATTTAAGAAATCTGAATAAAATATTCCTCGCTTCAAATATATATATCTCAAACCAAGTGCAACTTCTTGGCATCTAGTATATTCTAACATATACTTATCTCAAAGTATAATCATATAGTGAACATAAATAATTGTTATCTTCTCATTAAAATATATAACATGAAGAAATATATTTATGCAATATCAGGTTTTATGTCTAAAAATATACAGTTTTATTCGTTAAAACTTTATACATTTTTCACTAACAAAAATTATAGACAATAATACAGTATATTACCAACATGTTAGTCTTGAAATAAGTTATATTACAATAAACATACACGCAAAGAAAGACTTGATGGACTGATTTGCAATTGATGATAATATTCCACGTTTTCTATAATGCTGCTGTAATACTTCAAACGTGTGGAATACTTTGATTTTAATCGTGTATTTTATAGTAAATTCATACTATTTACTTTAAAACACACGATTTAAAATTTTTTATCACTATTTTGGAAAATACTTAATATAAAGCAGATAATACAATAAAAAGAAACGACGTGCAGTATTAAAAGAAATATACAAAACTCTTGGGAAAGAAACTGCTCATTTTTACATATTCAACATTAAAATTTTATGGAAAAAGAACATCAATATGTTTAAAGAGCGAATAATTGTATATAAAATTTTATTCATTAATCGTTTGTTTTATATGTATTTCGTATGTGGGGACAGTACTCGTGCACAATTAGAATTTAGTATACGGTTAGTGAATTAATATGTTCATTAAATTATTTAACTTACATACTATATATATATCATTACACAACATTATTTGATTACAGATCTTATCGACAAAAGTATTTGCATTTTATAATGGACGTGTATATGTATATATATATATATATATATTATATATATATATTATATATATATATATATATATACATATATATATATATAAAAGACACAACGATCTTATCAAGTATCTCTAAGTAAAACGAGTCAGATATTCAGATTTCAGATAATAAGATAATATTCTCTTTTTCATTTTCATGGATCATCAAAGTATCCAAGGATTAAAAGTATTGTGACTTCACTGCATATTTAGCATTAATATAATTATTTCATTTTGAGTTAATTATGATATAATGCGATGTTCAATTTAAAGAGAAAAGGAAGATAACATTTAATATTAAATATAACAAAGATACAAATAAAATAACAGAAAAAAAGACTACAATTATACATAAAATATGCGACAGTAAAGTTATTTTCAGATAAATTAGAATTACGTATTTTTTCATTATATGTGCAACAAGATTCTAATGTATGTGTGTGTGTGTTAAAATTTGGATTCAAAATGACAAACTATTAAAAATAAAATGTACAATTTTATAGTAATATAAATATGTCAGATTTATTAACAAAGTGTCTTTAAGGAGTATTTTAATTATGATAAATTTACTAAAAAAGTTTTACTTTGATCGTTCAGTCTATATTTGATAAAAAGAATTACAATTTCTTTAAATTGAACGATTAATTTATAGTTTATTTATTTCAATGCATTTGCATTTCAAATCCCGCACCTTAAATAATTTTTAAATTCATAATTATGGCACATATATAATTTTTCAACTTTTATATTTTTGTGAGAATCAATTTTAAAACAATCAAAATATGAATTCTCATGTTATCGTGATAGACATGGTCGATTTAATATGTATATGTAATAAGAATATAAAATATATATGTGCAACAATTCTTTTTTTATTTGAATGTTGAATTTTTTAATAATGCTACAAAGCAATTTCACATTATATAATTAAAATCAATATATTATGTGCCTGCAAATAAAATATTGATATAAATTAGGAAATTATAGAAAATTTGTACACACACACAAATCAGCGAAAATATTTATCTATAGAATAAAAATCTTCAGTAAAGTCGTCAAAAAGAGTGTTTGGATCTATATTTTGTACCATATTTGATACCATATATCGTATGACCATTGTATATCGTGTGTAAAACATGCATCGCTCCAAAAAATATATCACATGGACATAAAATTAGTCATTCTTAATTCATATACGTTTCTCGCTATCCATTTCAATCACATTGAAAATTTGGGATTAAAAAAAAAGAACGAAGTTTTTAATGACTAAAAAAGACATTAAATTATTTATCTCAAAAAATCATTATGTGCAACACTTAATCTTAATCTTCGATTTAAATTTTCGATCGAATTATCTTCAAAAAGAATTTATTAAATCTAAAATCTTTAGTTTTCAGGAAACTCGAAAAATTCGTTCGTCAACATTGATAGTTATTGTACAATATTATTCGTAAGAAACATCATACACGAAAAGATTTTATCATTTGTGATTTTTTGAATAAAATATGCCTTTCTTAAAATGAGCAGTACTGCTTAATTCCGCTTTGCATTTCTAAGGGAAAAGCGAAGATCACGATTATTCTAGTTTGCATCGTCCCTGGATGACAACATGATGTTTGTAACGGACTGCGGTTGACTGGAAACCGGGTTCCAACGATTCTGCTCCTTGTCAGCCATCAAGATCCAGTGCTCGAGCTTCTTGCCCTCCAACTGTTTGACTTCTGATGGATGCGAGTCCAAGATCTGGGCTCTCTTACCCGTCGTGGACTTATACTCGGACACATAAACCACTTGTTTGTCCGTCCGGTCCTCTTTCGGGCTCCTCGTAATGTCTGATCGTCTCGGCGGTACCGGCGGTTTCTTACCGGACGTGGGTTTGCCGTTCGATGTCACCTTGATCTCGTGTGTCAGCGATTTTCGCGACTCGCCGTTAGTCCCTGTCGTGGTTATTCCGTCCTCGTTCTCACTGTCGGTCTCTTGAACGCCCTCCCTGTTGGGCGACACTTTGATTTCCGTAATGTAGGTCATTTTATGAGCTGCGTTCAACGGCATGGGTGTATCGGGCAAGGGCGGACGACTCTCCGAATCCTGTGGATTGTTGTAGTCTATCGACTCGCGAACCAGACCACTGTCCTCGCTGTTCTCACCGCTTGACACGCTGACACTGCTGATGTTGTGACGGTCCTCCTTGGGCGAGGATGGACTCTTGCTGTGCGTCGTCATGCCTGAACCGAACTCGTACTCGTCCTCTTCCTCTTCTTCATCCTTTCCGTCACGACTGGAGACATTAATAACGCGTCTAGCAAAGTGCGTATCGAAGGAAGAGTCGGTTGGCGACTTGATCGGCGAATACCTATCGCCTCGTTGCTCGAATTTTGTCCGGTACGCCTGGAACGTGGAAAAGGTACCGTTCTTTCCCTCCGTGTGCATCTCCTCTTCCCTTGGATCCTGGGATTTATCGTGCTTGGCCGGTTCCGATTTGGACGCATGAATTCGCAGATGCGTCGGCGTGCACGCTCGTTCTATTTCTCTCTCCATGTTCTCTCTCGTCGTCATCGTTTTATTATCATCTGAAAACGATCGTACAGTCACACGATGTGGCTTGTCGACGTGTTTCTCGCGTTCGCAATCCACGCTGTGCTGACTGTGCCTACCCTCGCAACCACGGCAACCCCTGTCTACGGTTATTTTCGAGATAGACTCTTCTACTACCGGCTGCTTACCGGCGTAGAATGATGCGTTAAAGGGCGCTTTTTCCTCTCTTCGCTCGTTTAGCTGCGTAAGACTGACTGTCTTTGTCGTCGGCTCCACTGGCGAGACATTCGTGTGTAATTCAAAGTAGCGCAAAGCGCGACTAAAATCTCCTGACTTTTCCGATACAGAAGTCTCCGTATCATTTTCGAAGAGTTCCTCCTCAGGCTGGCTTTCTTCAGAGAACCGTTTCTCGTCGGCCAATTGAAAGTCCAGCTCCACTTCTCTCGGAGTCGGGCTCTTCACCACCCGGCCATCGTTTACGATCCTAGCTAGAGAATTATCCTCGTCTGGATTGAACATCCGTTCGTTATGAATAAATTCCTGGGTCAGTCGCTTACTCAATGGTAAATTGTACAACTCGATGCTGACGATATCGTGATCATTGTTGTCGAGTTTCTTTTTTTCAGATACATCATCTGTTGTTTCAGTAACTTCGTCCTTCAGCTTGATCTCTACCGCAGACTTGGAGCGTTCAAGAGTGCCATTGCTCTTCTTTCTCGTTTTCCCGCGCGCCTTCTCGTCCGCATCAGCAGCTTCGCTCCAGATCACGTCCTCTAGGGTGCCCCATTCATTCGACTTCTTCAACTTTCGTCGATCGAAGGAGTCAATTTGGTCGAGTTTGGTAAGATCCTCCGTGGACTCATTGATGTCTTCAGGCGGCAGCGGCGCCTTGCGCTTCTTCGCGCTGGTATCGGCGCTCATATCGAGGCTCTGCGCTCTCTCGAGAGTCGTTGCAGTTCTGTTTTCATACTTGGATAGATCGCCTAAACTGGCCGCCTTTCTGTACATGTCATCCTCATCGTCATCGTTCGCCTCTGGTACAGGCGTGCGATGAATGGTGATGTCCGCAGGATTTAGCTCGATTGTCGTAAAACTGTTCTGCATCTCGTTGTCAGTATCCGACTCGGAGTTGCGTCTGTTCATCGTCGGCTGGTTCTCCAACCGATGCCTCCGGGCGTCCGTGTTCTCACGCGCCTTGCTCACATAATCGCACAACGATTCTGAATAATCAGCGATGCTGTCGATAGTATCGATGGCGTCCTTCTTCGCGAGCGGTGGCATCTCGCTGATATTGCTCCTCGGTGGCGCCGGCGCCTTCCGTTTGTTCTTCTGCGGACTCTTGGCACTGTCGGAGTCTGTCGACGAGCTGCTAATCTTTTGAGCATTCAGCGGCTCCGAACTGCTCTTCCGATTCCTACGAGCCGCCATGGCTGCGTTGTGCACTTCTGTTGGCACCTCTGACGGTATGTTGATCCCTCCTCCAGCATCGGCATTTCTCTTGCCGGCTTTATTGTCCGACACGTTGGCGGTGATTCTCGCCGAGATGATGCCATCAGGCTGATCTGCGCGTTGCTGAAAACCCTCGTTACAGAGTTTCCTTTCATCGGTTATTTCCAACGGTTCGTCGCTCGCTGTCGACGTCGCAGACTGTCTGTTCGAAGAAGTCAGCAGTTTCTCCGCGTCCATCTTGCGCGAATGCCTTCTCTCTAGATTCGTATTGTGCTCGTTTTGATTTTCGATCCGGTGCACGGTACCATCCAACGCCGGTAGCACTTTGATGCCAAACTTGTGATGATGATTATTCTTCGTCGTCTCGTCGTGACGTCTCTCGAGACTCTGCCCGCTACCCGGCGTCGATTTCGGCGACTTGAGGGTTGAGTTCATCGTCGAGTGATTGGAACCGACGGATTCGTTCGGATCGGCCATAAAGAGTCGTTTCGCGACGCTTTTATGGGCCTGCGTCAGCTCTGGGATCGATTGACTCCTGTAGAGAGGATGACAGATCCTCGTCGGGCTCGGACCGACGCTCTTCTTCAGCAACGTCGTCGGCTTCGAACCGGTACCGCCGCTCTCCACCTCCAGCTCCACGTCATATGGCGAGGCATAGCTAAGAATCGTCAGCGCGTCCTCGTACACCATGTTGCGGAAGCTGATTTTTACGCTGGAGATGCGATCGCCTGTACGATAACAATTTTTTTAATGAATACATTATTACGAAACAAAGTTGATGTTCTGTAAAATTAATGTTTAAAGCATGACGTGCATTTTTTGTTAATTTATTTCAAAGGGCTAACAACCGGAAGCGTCTTAAAAAAGTCAACTTTTTTATATTTTATATCTTTTTTTATATTTGTATATCTTTTATATTTTTATATTTTATATTTTTTACTCTAAAGGAAATCTCCAGCAAAATTAAGATTTCAATCGCAACGGAAAATTAATTTTGTAATTTTCTAAAAATTATTATCAAATACAGATATATTTTTTCAGTGCAATCTATACTTTGTTTTCAAGATTGGAATCTGAGTTGATAGCCAACTTTGTCGAACTGAGCCATTGATACCGTTCAACGAGGATGCGATTCGCGCACTTCACTTATGCTGGCAAGTGCCTCACAATGAAGGCTTAATATTCGTTTTAATCGTCTCACGACACGCGTTATCAAGTGCTCGGACGCAGCAGTAACAGTGCTTTCATCACGAAATATAGGTATGTGGGTGATGCTCAGATCTGCGCAAACCAACATATGTTGAGAGACATGTTGTCCAGGTTAATCTCGGGGTATTAATTTACTTTACTTAATTCACACGGGTGATATCGTTGTTTCTCAACAGAAATTGAATTACACTTCAATCTCGATACAGCGAGCGAAGAGAATTGTCGCCGCACACAGCGATAACTGAATCGAGCGTGAAAATCGAATCAATAGGCAATATATTGCGTTTCTTTTTAATAGACATGAGAATTAAAAATAAAAAATAAAGCAGAATAAATCGAAGAGAGAAAAGATTTCAGAGAGCTTGGGAGAAACTGGAAAATGGACAACTCTTCGCAGATTAATCCTCAACGATGATCGCTGGAAAACGATCCACTTTGGATAGGTAAATATTTCGAGATATACTGACCAGGATGTATCCGTCCGGATTCGGATGCGGGACCGCGATGCAGCAGGTCCTTGACGAAAATGCCCTCTCTCATGTTGCCGCAGACGTTGAAGCCCAGGCCGGTGAAGTCACGACTCCGCAGACCCACCACGCTGACCCTAGTGGCCTTGGGCTGTAAGAACACGGACGTACGTCGATTGTTACAGCTTGTTAGGTGTCTGGCAAAATTCTCACGTCGATCGCTCATCACGACTGCTGTCGTGTGCGTGTCGCATGCGGATGAATCGTTGATTCCCATCGCCGTCGTCGAGTCATTAATCCCGACAATCAATGACCGGGCGATGACAAATATTAATTCATTCATGCGCGCGACAAATAAACGGAGGAACATACGTCGTATTCTTGTGAAAGAGAAGAGTCATGTCCATTGACGACATATATTATCACATCCGGCTGGGTCAGTAATATGATTCGTAATATCCGGTTTGTACAAATCGCGATTGAAGGATTTCTTGGTAAGTTTCTGCATCTTTGATGTTTATATCTTAATAAAGCATATGTGAGAACTCATTAATGCTTGACGATACGTGTATTTTTATCTTTTAAAGTCATAGCTTTTCTTGTTTTAATTCTTGAAAACAATTATTTGTATAAATATTTTAATGAGCGGAAATTGCATTAAATTTTTGGGATAAGATATAATCGAAAAATAGTTCTATTCTCTATTTATTTTGTGGATATATTTTAGAGAGATTATTTTTAATTTCGTTGTTTTTTCTCGTAAAGAAGGATATTTTGAAATCAGATTAGATCATGGAAAATTATAAGCGTTACGTCTGCCTTCAGTCATTTTATCCTGCAATTATCCTATTTCTGGTATCGCGCAACTAAACGACAACATTATTATTACCGTGTTTGACACTTCTTTAGATACAACCGCGGAATTTATTGTCTATTTGGCGTAATAGCTTAGTCGTTTGGGGCGATAATTTCTAATTAAAAATAACCGCATAAGATGTCATTTTCTTATGCAATATATGTAATTACGAGATATATAGTCATATTTTGCTTCAACATGGAAGAGATCATTCTTAAGATTTTAGAAAAAATACCGAGCTATTGAGATTTTTATCATGAGAGCACAATACAAAGCTTGATTATCAATTTAAATTTAATTAAATAAATCATTTTATGCTTATTTTTGATAAATATTTTTACAAAGATTTTTAATACTCTGTTAATCAACATCTTCAGGAATAAAATTTAATCTTCTTTTTCATTGATTTCTATTTTATCTCGTACTGTCATTGTCAGATAATACGGTATATGTCATTTAATTTTATTCGTTATCAATGAAATAAAATAAATCGCAATTAAATAATATGAATTACTGATCTTTGAGCAATAGTAAACATGAAATAGAGAGACCGACATATCTGCATAATAGAAAAAAAAAATGAAAATGAAATGCGACTTACTCCGACATAGGAATCGTCGAGGGTTCGACGTTTATCGTTGCGAATGGCCGATCCGAGACCCAGAGATGTCCAAGGTGTGGACCATCGCGTGGAATCCTTGGCAGGTGTGTCCCCGAGTACGGCCGACGCCGGTCTCTCTGTGACGCGGCCAATCGTCGTAGGTGTGGCGTCCTTGAAGCAAGGATTGTCGAAGGCGTACGCATCCTCGACGATCTCGGGGTCCGTCACCAGCACCAGGTGTTTACCTGTAACATCGGTCCCGTTGTACATTAGCGTGCGTCAGTGATCTTGAACACGTTTTGATACGTTAGATGTATTTAAAAAAATACAGAAAATTAGGGAGATACATGTCGTCTCCCCGAATAATTTCGCGAAAGTTTTAGTCGCGTATTCTCGCTTTGTTGCGAGACATGAATGGAATCGTAATCGCGACATGACTCATTTTAACGGGGGATGGGACGAGAGGGAAGGGGATTACTTATATAAAACGTACGGGACGATCGCGCACATCTCCGATCACGCGCGAGCGCGCGTCCATTTAGGGGGTACCTACATCACGTATCGGCAGGAAGGAAACGCATTCTTCGAAACCGCCCATGTCCCGCTACGCGTATCCGATATCTATCCGCGCAACCTGACCGTATTCAGGCACACAGGTGTACCTTATACATATGCATATACACGTGGTTTCGGACAATCTCACGCGACAATCCACGTGTCAAGATCCCAAGGCGATCAGCTGTTTAAGACCCTCGAGAAAAGTCTCCTTTATTTTTCAAATATTTTTCAATTTGTCCAATTTTTTCCGATGTAAAAGATCGTATAATGTAAAATAAAGTTTGAATCGTACGAGAAAAATTAAAGAATTCGGAAAAGTGAAGACAATAGCTTTTTTTATCATTATCGTAAGCGAATCTTTTTCTCAACGTTGTGCAAGGATGTCCCGGATTTTTTCCCCAGGCAGACATTCCTTGCACGCCTACGCACTTATTTATTTATCGGTATCCGTGTGTGTTCTCGCATACACGTATTACGCAGAAAACGCGTGTGCTAATAGAGCCGGTGATTTCCCTCTCCCTCTCCCTCTCCCTCTCCCTCTCACTCTCTCTCTCTCTCTCTCTCTTCCTCTCCCGCTTCCTCCGATCGTCGTGTTACGTAACGGACAATGAGGCGATAATCGTGCCCGGTATGCACGATAAATCGGCGACGCCGAAGGCTGACTTTGGAGAGGAGAGGAGAGAGATTCCCGTTTAAGAGAAAAAGAAGGACTGAAAATTTACGGCGCGTGTCGCGTAATATTTCTCGCCGCGGATAAATATCCCGACCGGGAGTTAAATGAAATATTTAAGGCCGCAAAACCGGCGTCGTCGACCGACTGCATCTGCATTTTCTCGATGCAGATGCGCGCCTTCGGGGCATCGATATGCCTACCGTAAAACGACGCGCATACTTTTGCGACGCGATGCGATGCGACTCGACTTATGCTTATGGATAGAAATTTTTCAGACTAAATAGAATCATAAAACACCATAAAAGATTCTGTAGATTGATCAAGTGCGCAAGATCAAGTGAGAGAAGATGGAAATATTTTTATAAAATTATTCGAAGCGTTCCTTCTTTTCTGCCTTTGATTTTCCGCTCCTTCATTCGCATTTCTCAAAGAAGGATTAACGGTAATACAGAAATAATTTAGAGCATGAATATTGATATTTGTAAAAGGTAAAAATGAGAGAATAAATAATGAAAAGAATACTAATTTTTTTCTGATATACTGCAAATTATAAAGATATTGATTAAACTGATAATTTAGATATTGAGAATTTTTCATTATACTTATCTCAGAAAGCACGACTTATTTATTTAATTAAATATTGTGATGAAAAAAATTGGATATATTAATCTTTTCTTTAACTTTTCGCGCGTGTTTATTTATCAAATTAACGTTTATAGAAATGTAATAAGTTTTTATTGATTTAATTAATTAATTTGATTGATATTTGTTTTACAATATTTACAAATTTGTTTTTTCCTCTGTTTTAAGTCTCTCTTTTACCGTGACATTTTCAATAGCCTCGTATACATAACGTTTGGCATGTTACGTAGTCCATTGAGTCGCCCGAGATATGCGATTCAGCAATGTGTCAGCATACCAAGCATTTCGTTTTCCATATTCATGCCTCGAGCGATTGAATTTTCCGCTAATAATAACATAAATGATATATTTTTTAGAATAGAATTACGCGAGACCAAAGGACAGGAGAGAGGAATGAATAGAGAGCAAATGGCGACCCAATCTTTACAAAATTCATGTAAATATTTATATATGAAAAACATCTTTATAATACGAATGTATCCTCTCTCGAATGCAAGCTAATATCTCTTACGTAAAACCCAATCATTTCACCGAGAAAAGACACGTACGACACCAAAATAACATCGACAGCTCTAGAATTATGCATTGTTTTGCAGCGTGCACGAATTTCGTGGGACAAAATCAACCGTAATAAAGATCAGTTGCAGCGACTATTTGCTTTCCGTCTTCTTCTCGCGTTTTTCTCTCTCTCTCTCTCTCTTTCTCTGCCTCTCGTGGGGGACCCTTATCAAAATACATATATTGAGAGACGCTACGCCTTTGCGAGGGACGCCAATGGGCGCATACCATGGGCGCCAAGGTGAGCTAGCTCGCTCTCTCTTATCCTGTGCCTTGCTCTCTTCCTTTGCTTTCGTCGTCGTCGTCGTCTTCTTCTTCTTCTTTGCCGTAAGCTTCGAGTCGCGATCCACGCATCACCCCACCATCGCCATCGCCGACCGACCGCGTTACTCTTATCGAGACCCGGCTCTGATCTGCTTCTCGTTTCGTCTCGGAAGCCTCTCTCGGCGGGACGCCGACATGATCGGTCGCGCGAATGACTCTTCTTCCCGAGGAAGAAGGTATCCGCAACCGTTACAAGTTCTTAATGGATGCTCGATGTCTGCGTAACGAAAAAAAAAAAAAATGCCTTGCCATGCCTTTCCCGCTGTGTGGCTTTGCGAGTTTCCTACCTAGAACTACTCCCGAAAGATAAAAGACACCGTCCGTAATCTTCGAAAAGTTTACGAGTGGCATAAATAATCTTATTTTCAATTTGACAGTTCTTATCTTAAGCGGCTTAACAAGTCAACTTGAGCTAATATAGTTTCTCGAATAATAAGCGAGTTTATTTATTTATTTATTTTTTAACAACGTCGAAACGAGAAACATTTAATTAACGTGCTTCGGTGACGTTCTTTTGACGATTAATATTTAATGATAAATTAAAAATTGTATTTATCGCGAGCCTTCTTAAGCACCTTGGAGCGGATTGCGTTAAATGCGTATCGCGCCTGGGATACTTGAGAATATAAGAGTCGCAGAGATATCATTGTTAGCGGTGGATCTTCTCAACGATTAAAACGCGCTTTACTTACTTACATGTAAATATTTAACGCGCTAGTTTCGTGACACGTCGTCGTTTAACGCAACAGTAACGCGACGAGGTCAATCGTCGTGAAGATAATGATGTTTTGCGAAAGGCAACTCTCTCGTCCGCAGGTGGAAAGGATCGTAGAATCTCGGTCGAACGCGATTCTGTTCCTAAATTAATTCCCGGTTGTTTTTTCTGGAGAAATAAAAGCGTCACGAACTCCAATCCATGCAGACTATAACCGATAATTAACATCGATGGTTTCGATTTTTTTTTCATTTTACATCGCAACTTTACATGCAACTTCAAGTGCGTGATTTCACAGTCTTAGCCTACATTTCGAAGATACACGTACAAGTTCGTTACATTTTTACATGAATGAATTATCTCAAATCTCTCGAATGTGACAGAAAAAATGATAAATATGATGAAGTAATTTGTGTCAAAATTATTTGTGTGTTAAATAATATGAATTATCGATGTGACATGTAATCAGTCGCGTTGGTTGCGAATTTTACGAGTTGTGTAGACAAGATTCTTTTCGAATTAACATCTGTATTGACATTGTCATTTAAAGCGTCCCAGATCCTGTAGAATCGTTTCTTATTCTATCGATAAACATCGTATTTTCAAATGAATTGTGATGAACCATTTTCCGTCAACGAATAATCTATCCATGCACACGCAATATTATAATTACATCTCGAGAAATATTCGCGGAATTTTACTGAACATGAATAATTTTTTGCCAGCGTGATTCATGCAAATTGCAACTCTTCAGAAACGTGATATAAAACGATGCATATTTCTATTAAAATTGTACTAAAAAGATGAAAAATAAATAAAAAAATATTGACATTAAAAAATAAAAAAAATTTTTCTGAAACTACATTTCTCGTTTTCTCAAAAGAAAAAATCATTTTAGAAATAGAAATAAAATTTGTTTCTCTTCTCTTTTTAAATTACGAAGTATTTTCCGAACGTAATACGGACATAATTGTGAAAGATAATGAACTTCTGTGTTATTTTCATTTAAAAAGAACATTGACTTCCCACCACATTTGCGATGGAAACAGCTGTACGCGTCTACTTTCCATCGATTCTTGGAAAAGTTTGTCATTTAAAAATAGAAATAAAATTCGTTTCTCTTCCCTTTTTAAATTACGAAGTATTTTTCGAACGTAATACGTACATAATTGTGAAGAATAATAAATTTCTGTGTTATTTTCGTTTAAAAAGAACATTGACTTCCCACATTTGCGAGAGAAGCAAGAAGCAGCTGTACGCGTCTACTTTCCACCGATTCTCGGAGAAGTTTGCGAGGCCGAAATCACATCGTACGATTTATTTAAAGGGAGATAAAAAATACGAGACGGGAACACATCCGGTATACATGAATATGCGAAAACTCTCGTTAGCCTTGCCTGCGCAACCTTCCGTGAATTACGAAAAAGAAACTCGAGCAGCACACGCGCAAACAATTCCTTCCACACTCCAGTGATCTGGTATTTAGGTACGGACCTGCCGCGTCGCATCGCATCGCATCGCATCACGGCCGGTTCGCAATTCTTCAAGGTCACGTCGGAAGTCGAGGTCAGCGGCGCGGCGTAGAAAAAGGCGACGCCGTAAATATCAGCCCGTACGTGACGATCATCGACTTTACATCGCCCTACCGGGACGTCAGAAAAGACCGGGGGGTGTAATTTGACGAAGGTAAGAATCCGCGATACCTTTTGTATCCTCTCGAGCTGGACGGAATCTCTCGCAAGAGAAGTGCGACTTTAAAACAGAGTGGAAATGAA